AAAACTTCAGATTTCTACGCATTATTGCCGACAGTATTTTGCCGTTGCCTATATTTTGCGACGGCGTTACATCGTCACTAAAGGCCTTTAGAAACCCCCTTTGTTGCGACCCCCTCTTGTCGTCGCTAAAAGTCAGTTGCCGTCACAAAAAATCTTTTGAGACGGCGTTTCGGGCCGTCGCAAAAAAGCAAATTTTTTGTAGTGATCTCATGTAGATTTACTCAAATCTAATGTAGATCTGAGTAGATCTACTCATATTTATCGCCAGAAACTCATCTCTTTTGTCATTGGTGAGGGTGAAGTAATGAGTTGTTGGTCGGTGGTTACCAGTGAACTCCAAGCAATGATGGTCGTTGGTTACCCGAGACTATATATTAGAAAGAGAAGGAGAAAAAGTAAGGCATGGTCGCTGGTCGCCGGTCACCGAAAATCATGAAGAGAAAGAGGTAAAGAAAAATAAATGCACAAAAAAGAATGAAGAAGAAAAATACGTAATGAATTTTTGAGAGTATTCAAAAGATCATGAGACTAAATAACCTTATCCTCTTTTAAATGGGACTTCCAAGTAATTTGCCCAAATTAATATCCGCTGAAGTTTCAAGCCCTTCTCAGTCCAGTCCATTGGATGAACCAAATTGATCCACGTAAGTGTTGGTAAGTCTAGTTTCAATCCATTTTACAAACAATAACATATGGGCCGAGGTCATGCCTTTTCTCTTCAAACCCCATTGGGCTTGTTACTAACGAGCTCTGATTGGGCTAGCCAACCTCTTTAACACGTTGTGTCCAAGTTGGGCTGGGTTTGAATTGGGCTTGCACTGAATCATTTCAAACTTGGCTCAACTGGGCCCAAAAAAATTTAAGCCAAACTCCATTTTTTTAAGTGATTAAAATTGTTTATTTTGTAAAGTTGGTTAAAAAATTATCTATGTAAAAAGTTTACTAGATATTGGTAATTATATGATCAAACATTAATATTCATTTATTTAAAGACAAATGTGGATTGATATCTAATTTTTTAGATGAATGATTTTATTGACCAAACTTATAAAATGAACAATTTTAATCAAATGGTGACAATACCTCCTAAGAAAAAAAGATGAGTGCAAAAATATTTTTTGGTTGTTTAAAAGTCCTAATATCTTCTAGCAAGTCAGTAACGTAATATGTAGTCTTAAAAAAAAAATTAAAAAATAATATTTTTTTTTTTGTAAAATTAAAAAATAAAATATAAAAAATCTTTATATATATGACATACATATATATAGTTCGGTGACATATAAGGTGGTGGCATCAAACCTAGTGATGTAAAATTAAAAAATAAAAAATAAAAATCTTTGTATATATGACATACATATATATAGCTCGGTGACATATAAGGTGGTGGCATCAAACCTAGTGAAAAAGGTTGATGGCATCATTAAAAAAAAATGATAAAAGGGAAAATTAATTGAGGAAAAATGTTAGAAACCTTAAAATTTTTATTAATTTTTTTATCAAACACTCACTTAGTGTGGGTCTTACACCGATGTGAGTGTTTTGTAGAATTTTTATATATCTAGCATTGCTCTAATAATAATTTTGTTCATTGGTTGGTGAACAAAATAAAACTCTAACGGGTGACATAATAAAGAAATAATAGCCCTGTTTGGTAGAGCTGTGAAAAAGTGCTTATAGCTTATGCCTAAACAGCTTATAGCTTATAACTATGAACATAAGCTGATTTCTGACTTATTCTTAAAGCATCTCCTGTTCCACTCAAAGAATAAGCTGATTTCTGACTTCTAAAAAACTATAAGCTAAACCAAACACATCAAAATAGCTTAAATTAAGCTGAAAGCTGAAATAAACTAATTATAATTTCTGCCAAACAGGCACAATATGGGACAAATCTTTAATAGAATATCTAATCCAAAACTAATTAATATTAGGTGGAGAGGCTCAAATTATATTAGTTAATTTTGGATGGCCTCTTTTGGGAACATAGTTTTTAGTCACTTTTTTTGGTTTGTAACAAAAGTCAAAAGTTGACTTTTTTTGGTTTTTTTTTTCATTTGGGAAGTTAGTTTTTAACCAATGGTGAAATTACAATTCTACCCTTCATGGGTTAAAATGTGTTATATGGGTAAAGTTATAAATATTTTAAATTAAATGGGGGTAGTTTGGTCATTTTATTATTATTTGATATCATAAACAAATATTAATCAAAAAAGTCAAAAGTAACTTTTTACCAACTTCACAAATCATTTATCTAACAAAATCAAAAGCCGTTAAAAGTCAAAAAATTACTTTTTACCATTTTCTCAAAATGGCGAAAGTTCTAAACACTTATTTGCACAAAGAGATGAGGAACAGTAGAAACGAACTAAGGCCAAGTTTGGCTACAAAGAAAAAAGTGCACTTATTTCATCTTTTTATCTTTTTTGGGTCACATCAATCAACATCTCCTCTCTACTTTTTCTACACATAATACAAAAAAAGTCAAAAAGTGCACTTATTTAGTCTTTCCAAACTAGGCCTAAGGTGGAGATTGGACTCGCAACATATCATATAAAATGTAGTTTTTATACCATAATAAAATTATTAGGAGCATTCAACTAAAAACTAATTACATTAGGTGGAGAGCTCCTTACACCATGCATTAAAAAAGTTTGAATTTTTTAGATTGTGTTTGAATCATAAATTTAAATAAAACTTTTAAAAAATAATAATTTATATTTTATTCATATTATTCTCATTATTTCTCTTTTAATTATCTAGATTCTGCTTCAAGTCATTTCTGTCTTAAAAAATTCGTAGTCATTTCTGTCTCAAAAATTGATGTAGCAAATTCATACATCTCATACCAACCACCCATCATCGCCAACCACCAACTCTAACAATTCACCAAACAGGACAAAGCAGTAATAATAATGGACTATAACGGAAAAAAGAAGCATTAGAAAAGCATTTTAGGGTAGAATTTGAATTTGTTCATTCCACTCAGTCACTGTCAATAACATGCATGCTTGATTGGTAATTAGAGAACAACCTTCCATTTTATGGAAATTGCTAAAACAGCAGAATGTTTATCTAGGATTTGTTACAATAATGATGTGATTGTGTCATATTTGTACATAAAAACCCATCTTTAAAGGGATTTTTTTTTTTAAGTGATAGATTAACATTAAAGCATTTAATATGGTTTAATGTTAACTTATTACTTTAAGAGTAAATTACAAATACATCCCCGAGATTTGATTTAAATACGAATCCCTCTATGATTTTGAAAATTACATTTTACACCTTTGAAGTTTCTAATTTCATAACAAATCACCCATTTTATTAATAAATCATCAAATTAATTAATAGTTTTTAATTATGTTAAAAATATGTTTCAATTAATAGTTTAGGTAATTTTATTATTGTATAGGAGAACAATTATAAATTTCACTTTTTTAGTTAATTATATTAAATAAAAAATTCTAATAAAAGGGTATTTGTAATTTTTCAAACTAAAGAAATAATTTATATTTTAAACAAACCTCAGAAGATGTATTTATAATTTACTCCTTACTTTAAAACAAATCCATTGAGATCGCTATTATTATTTACAAACATGTCACAGCCACGTCATTTTTGTAACAAATTTTGTATGGATATTCCGGTGGTTTTTCATTAATGTTAATCTCACTATATATATTTATATATTATGGAAAATGCAAAAGTTAATTGTTTGACAAAAGTTAATCAAACTATCAAAATTAATTTGTTGAGTCCCAAGAGGGAATGTGATACAAAATAACAAATTAGAGATAATTGGTTAAACAATAAAATAATAAAATTTTGTTAATTCTTTGCTATAATTATGTTCTATGAATAATAATCCCATCTAATTCAATTCATTAAATAAATTTAGAATTTAATTTTTAAAAGATTTTTTTAAAAATAATATTATATTTTTTAAATGTATTTTGTTAAGCTTCCGTTTGGGAAGTTGGTTCGTTTTTTAACTTTTTGGCTTTTTGAGTTATTTTAGCTTGGGCTAAAAAGTTTAGTTTGGGAATGATTTTTTGATTTTTTTGATTTTTTTTTGAGAGAATAGTGTAATGATTATGGGTTAGATGTGACGTTTTGCTTGTTGCGGCTAAAATATCCTATTTTGTCTTTTGTAACTAAAATAACCACAAACCAACTTGTCAAACGGACCCTAAAGTGTATCTAAAAATTTAAAAAAGAAAAATGCCTAAGACCCCTAATGGGGGTCACTGGGGGGTCGTGTGTGTAGACCCATGATTGGCCCAAAAAAAAAAATTGTTTTTTTTTTTTTTTTTGAATATTCACATTGTCAACAGGCCGGGCCGGACCTGCCCGACCCGAGCCTGGGCTTCAGAGGCTGCCCACGGGTCATGGGCCAATTTTACTCTCTTGTCAATGTTAATGTTAATGTTAATATGTCAATGTGAATATTCATATTGTGAACGGGCCGGGCCGGGCCCGCCCCGGGCGACGGGCTGGTTTCGGGCTGCCCACGGTCCGTAGGCCAATTTTACACTCCTATCAATGTGAATGTTAACTTGTCAATGTGAATATTCATATTATTAACGGGCTAGGTCGGGCCTATTTTTTTGGCTTGTGGGCCGGCCCGGCCTGACTCGAATTTTTCCGGACACCCACGAGGATCGACATGAGCCGGGCCCCTACACATTGACGATATAAACATTTATATTGACGGTGTGAACATTCACATTAAGGGTATTTTGGTAATTATGTCACCCATAGGACTTATTGAAACATAAGAAAATAATGTGAACTAAATGGAACATAAGTAGATGAAAAATGTATTTTGGTCTTTTTATCTCAAATTGGACCTAATAAAATAGTCAAAAAGAATATGAGTTGAATGGAATAAAACTCTTAAAAAATGAATTTATCAAAAAACTCCCAAAATAAAAATATGAAAAATAAAAAATTCAGTTTTAAAAAAGTGAATTTAGAAACCCACTCGTATTGCGGCATCTGCAATGGAATGGGTCGAAGATACAATTGACCTACCCGTGACCGACCCGCCTCAATCGGGTCTAATAAAAGTGACGGACCAGAGAGCTTCGCGAAGTAAAAATGGCGAATCCAGAGCATCCCCGTCTCATCATCCATGATTTTCTCTCTCTAGATCTCTGCAAGGTAACATATTCATGCACATGTACATACATATACATACATATATGTATATATATATATATTATATCTGTAGTTGATTGATATTGGGTTGTTGCAGGAGCTAGGGTTCATACACAAGAGCTGTGGCACAGTTGGGTACAGACCAAACGTGTTCTCCACGACTCTCTCTCATCTCATCGCCACTAATTGCGCTCACTTGATCATGCCTTTCGTGCCCATCCGTGGTATCGAATTTTCTTCTTGTTTGTTTTCTGAGAAAGTTGGAGAAAATGAAAAAGAAAAAGTGGGTATTTGGGATTTTTTCATGTTTTGTTTTGTTTGAATTTTTTTTAGAGAGGTTGAAAGAGAAGGTGGAGGAGTTCTTTGGGTGTGAGTTTGAGCTTTTTGTTGAATTCACTGGCTTGATCAGGTCAGCTTCTTCTTCCGTTTGAATTAAATGCTTGTGTTTACTCTGAAATGATCTTTTTTTTTCTTTTCTTTTTTTGATAGTTTATTTTGAGATAGTGATTCTGATTCATTTATTTGGAAAGTATTTTAGACCCACAAAAAGCTTCCCAATTTGACCCAATGATGTGGCATGATATGTGTCACTTTTGCTTTGTTATAGAGTAGAAGGCGCAACTCTATTGCCACAACATCATTGTGATGAATTTATGGGTCTAAAATTGCAGGTCTCTAGCATTTCTTCATTTAATATATCTTTCTTTTTTTTTTTGATCGGCAAAGAAAAAATTCCATTAAAACATGAAATTTAAAAGGTACAAGGAAAAAAAACGTATTGAGAGAGATTCGAAGAGTAAAAACACTCTCCTACTACTGCTACACACGTCTTTACAACCGACCCCTTAACCTCACAATTCTATATATTTTTTTTAAAAGACAAATAAAACAACAAAACAAACCAAAAAACTAAAATTCAAACTTTTAATATATCTTTCTTTAAGCTGTTGAAAATGGAAATTCTTGTCAGTATAGAACAAAACTTATTCTATAGTTGTAGAAGGCCTAAAAAATTCATTCTGATTATCCATTCGAGTTGCCATTCAATGTCTTTGGATCTAGTGCATAATTTAAGTATTTGAATTGTAAGTTTTGTGCTTCAAACTTCACATGGAGAATTTTGTATGACATTTTTATGTTTTTATAGTCTTTTACCATTTGCTATGATTGGTGTTAGCTGGAGTAGAGGAGCAAGCATTGGCTGGCACAGTGATGATAACAGACCTTATCTGAAGCAAAGGGACTTCGCGGTGTGTATGCATTCTATTGAACATATTTTATCTCCCTAAAATCCATACATTCATGGATGTTCAATCTATAATTTTTTCCCCCATTTTATCTGATTTTTATGATGACTTTAAGTTTTCATATGTTTGCTTTTTGTTAGTGGCTAGGCATGCTTGATGAGTGTTGAAATGATGAATTTAAGTATTGCTGTCCATCTTTATAATAAAATAAATGTTGCAGATGAACTGAATGTCAAACCTGTGAGGCTGAGACCTATTAAACCATTTCAAGTTTCAACACAATTGCCATTGGCGTTTTTGTTGTGTTCCTAGTGTTTCTTCACCCATTTAACCGATACTATACACATAATTACATTTCTGCACCATGTGGTTGGTTCATGTATAAAAATCTTTTGGTGTAATGAATGTTGAAGGGTAGAAATTCAAATATTGCACTGAAGTTGGAATTCTGAAATACTAATATAATAACAGTCCAAATATGGTTCATTGAATATCTAGTAGCTGTATCATCTCTGCATATATTAATTATCCCTCCTGACTGTTTTCTGGTTTTGGTGGGCCAAAGGCAGTTTGTTATCTGAATAGTTATGGCAAGGATTTTAAAGGTGGACTTTTTCACTTCCAAGACTGGGAACCGACAACTATTGTGCCCGTGGCTGGTGTAAGTGGTTTCATGAGTTGGCCTTTTCTAATATATATTGTGGAGATGAAATATTCTTACATTTGAATGCATTACTTAAGCTTTAACTGTATGATTTAGAAAGTAAGTATTCTTAAATATTAATCTATCCTTTGAAGCATAGATAGATGTAAATGGGATGCAAATATGACACAATACGGATGTGACATTTAAAAAAATAAAAATAAATCAAGACATTGACACAACGCCAATTAAATACATATTATTATGTATGTATGTATGTATGTATATATAAGAGAAAATAACGGACTATTTTGTAAACTCGGGCGGGCTCAACCCGAGCCCATCCCAAATTTTCTTAGGCTTGTGCAAGATATTTTTGAATTCAGTACGGGCTTGAGCAAAGTTTCAGAAGCCCGAATTAAATTTAGACGAGTTTTGGTAAAGACATCAAATAATCCGAGAAACCTGAATATATATATAAATATTTAATATACATATGAATTATTAACCATTAGATGATATTATAGTAATTTAAATCTTTAAATCATATTGAATATATATTATATACATAAGTAACACAACACAAAAATCTTACATTTTTTTAATTCTCACTCATAAATTGTAAAAACAACTATAGCGGCATCTCTCTTACATTATGTAAATTATTTATTTTAATGTTATTAATGATTTTCTAAAAAAAAATGTAAATAGTAGAATTTAATTTTAACAAATTAATAATTTAGCTAAAAAAAAAACAAAAAAACAAAATTGAAATTTATGTGCAATTCGGACAACTTGGATAATTAGAGTTCAACTCAGGTCGGGCTTGGGCAGGAAACCTTAGGTTACAATTCGGGTTTGGGTGCGTCTGAGCAGGTCTTAGCACACCGTAGGCTAGGCTTGGATAACCTTTGAACCTATCCGAATCTGCCCGAGTTGCACCCTTAACTAGAAGTTGTTAGTGTTTAATGTTTCAAAAATTTATAATTCTAAAAGCAATGATTAATAGGTGTTGTTTGATGGTTGAAGTTGAAATATACAAAGAAGTAAGAGAATTATAGAATATATAAAAGAGGATAACAATGAGAGATTTTTTAGGCCATCTGAGCATAGTTGGCCAGAGTTGTTCTGCTGTCAAGCCCAAGTGGTTTTCATTGCCATCTCTTCTTTCGCCTTTATCCTGTAAGCATGATTAGGAAAGAAGATGCTTCATTTGAGACATTTTTTTTGAAAAATAGAACTTTTTCCTCTTTTGACCTTAGCATTTCCCCTTCTTTAGCTTAGTATTGATCTTGTTCGGGATTATTTATTTACTATATGAACTGTTAAGATCAAGCTCTTACCATCTCATCAAAACCCATAGGTAGTGGTGAATGTGCAACTTTATTCCTTTAAAGGGTATAGCGCCAAGCGCCACAAGTTGACTGTGACTTGGCCTCTACCTAGATCTCCGCCACGGCAGGATACTGGCCCTAACCCTGCCAACATGAATTATGTCCAATCTTGATTTCCGAGCTCATTTCGTGAACGAGCTAAGCTTTGTTTCCTCCTATCTATGAAATTCTGTGTCTTTCGTTTGTGATCATGTTGGGCGAAAGGTAGTTGTAGAGGAGCGGCTGTGAAATTGTGATCCCTCCTTTCCATTGAAGTAGGGAGGGCCTCTTCCCTTCTAGATCCTGTGGTTTGCAGAATTTGGAACCTAACGATGTTTGGATCATCACATGAACGGGAGCGGACAATGTTTGGTTCGTCACACTCTTAACATCATTGAGCCCAACCCAAACACCTTAAAGATCAGCTTAGCTTGGCTCGGTTCATTTGCAGCCTTATGTATAATGTATATATAACTCAGTTGCCATTCTTATATTCTTGGGAAAAAGAATCAAAACTAAATCATTCGCTTCATGAGATCAGTTGGCACTGCCTTAAATCTAAATATGTTAAAAGGAAAGAGTAGTTTTTTAGTTTTTTATGGTTTTAGGTTTATTTCATTATTACTCATTCATTTGGCGTCTTGTTAGGATGTTGTGATGTACACAGCTGACAGCAGAAATATACACTCTGTTGATGAGGTAGCTCTCAAGTTCTCTCTCTCTCTCTCTCTCTCTCTCTCTCTCTCTGAATTTTAAGCTATGTTCCTTTTCTTTGGGTGTGGTAATCGGATAACTTTCTGCTGGAACAAAAGCTGAAGCATGAGAAAAACTGATGAAAAATGAAATGTGGGGTACCTTGTTCTAGATATCACAACTGCTATGGAGATTTATGTACTGGAAAACACATTTGAAATGTGGAACACTTTCATTCAAATATTTGTCTCTGAATTTTTTTTTTCCCTATTTCTTTTCTTCGATAGTTCTTATGAGGAAAAAAATTAAAAATAAATATTGTATCCATCATGAAATACCAGTCTAGTGACTAAGAAGATAAGAACTTCATTTCAAGAAATTTAGGAAAGGGTTATGACATTTAGAACACTGAACTACCTATGCACTTAAGTCTTTGTATTTACATAATCCATTACTAAGGTAAGAAACAAAAACAACCCCTCAAGTTTCGAACAATAGATTAATTCCTCCTTGGGTTTCTAAAAACTCATTATTTCCCCCTTAACCAGGAAAAGAAATTGGCAGATTCCCTCCCATTAGACTTCAGTCACGTGCCATTATGGATATAGTGAGAAGACATAATTTACTGAATAAAAACGAAATAATTAAAATTAAAACCAATTGATATAGACAAGAATTCACTTTTCTCTCTGTAAACTCGCCATTTACTCTCCCTCTCTCTCATGTTAAGCTCACCATCTTAACTGAAATTTGCCACTATTGACAATACTTTTAACTCCTACCATTAACATTAAATTCAGCTCCCCATCACAAACAAATGTGGCTATTGTTTTGGGTGAATAACAAAATTGGTTATTGATCTAACCACCCACATAATATTTAATCTCCTTTTTCTCTGCACTCTTAACATCTTTCTTTCCTCGACCAATTCCCAGTTTTTCTGGTTAAATCATCTTGTCTGGTTTTGTTTTTGGGACACTGCTGTGTGGCAAACATTTTGTCTTTTATTGTTGGGAACATTATATAGAATTCACTTTGTTAATGAAGGGCACTCAAAGAAACTTACCTGTTTGCAAGGCATATTGACTTTAGTTGTATCTTTGAGAAGTGCAATACATACTTATGAGTAGTCCTGTTTGTAAAACAGTAGATCTGTCTACTAGACATTATTTTGAATTATTCATATTTTTTTTTGGGAACAGATTACAGATGGAGAGAGGCTTACACTAACACTGTGGTTTAGCCGTGATGGGTCCCATGATGAGGATGCTAAACTCATTTCCTTTCTTTCCCAAAGCCAATTACATCGTTCTATTCATGAATCTCATTTGTTTCTACCTCTTCCAGCGTCAACTAAAATGTACTGGTTTCCTCCAGAACAAGCTTCAACTTATGAGTCAGGATGTGACATATGCTTTGCAAGAATACATGCTCTTGGATACGATCTTTGTTTTCCTCAAGATAAGAGTTGTCTGTCTGCATTAGATACATCTAATGACTTCTCAGAAACACTGATGGAGCCATTGAGACTAACAAGGGGAGAAGAGTTACTTGATGTGGAATTTGTCAACATTTTACATGTTCTTCAGGTAATCTTTTCGCTGTTACTCAACCTAAACTTTGTTGATTTGAAGAGCTAAATCATGTATAAGCAAAATCCTATCTCAACTTGAAAACCCCAAAATGAAAGGGATTACATGAGAGCTATAAAATGACATTGTCATTCTTCGTTCGCTCCTCTCTACCATGCATGGTCTTATTTGTTTCCTCCAGCTCATTGTAGAATGAGTTAATGGAATTTGTTACGAGGGCCATAGCACATTACATTTAGAATTTGGCAATGCATGGATTTGGGTATTTTCTTGTACTTCTGTTTCTCTTCCTTTTTAGGGCTTGCTTGGAGCCCTATAACTTGTGGAATTGGGTCCTCTTGGTTGCTTAAAGTTGCAGAAATTAGTCTTAAAATGTGATTTTGGATATTTCATATGGGTCCAATTAAATAGCTGTTGGGACCTCCAATTGAATACTTCGGGTCTCTAATGAATAGATGTAGTGTCTCATTATTGATTTTGTTTCTTGTTCTAAAACAGGCTGTTCAATTCTACTGTTGGAAGTCCTCCGAGTTGCAAACATTTGAACATGAAAAGAAAATAAACATGTTACCATTATCCCAATCACAGAGGGAAGAAGTTAACAGACTGAAATGTGCATTCCTGAAAGATGAACAATTGGCGGAGACACTTTTCAGGACCTGTGAAAAGTGCGAGCAACATCGCTTCAATTGGGCTGGTTTTTCTGCTGCAGTTGCTGCATGGGAAGCTTATTGTAATACACTAGGTAAAGAAATGCTTATGAGCTTACCATACTGGAAAACACACCAATCTATATTTTGTGTTCCATCATTGGGTCTTGAGGAGGGAGCTGAAACTTAATACATACATTCCATGTTTCAAATATAAATTTTTGGGTATTCAATCCCCATGTTAGTCAACAGGTTATAGTAAGAATTGTCCATTGCTCTTTCTCTTGCAATCTCTCCCATTTTTCCATGCTACAAAGTTTACAAACACGGCTTCTCTTGCTAGTCTAATGCAGGAATTATCGTGCTTGTGCTTTTCAAAACGAATGTTGTTTCTCCCGCTCCACTGCTTAAAACTAAGAAAGGTTAATATTTTGAAGTTGGTTTTTAGATGCATTTTTTTAAAGATTTTTTGAAAAGCTAAAATCGCTTTCGGTCTTTATGAAGTTGTGTTAGTGTGTGTATATATATATATATGAATTCTCTGTTTGTGACTATCAACTTTTTGTTTTTGTTTTTGTTTTCATAAAATTGTTGTCTTTTAATCCCAAATTGAGGCCATATTTCAAAAGCCCCCACAATTGCAGAGGTCCCTTGAATGCAACTTTAATAAAAGCGCACATAATCGAATATCCTGTGCATAAAATTATACCTAAAGCAAATAAAAAGCAAAGAGAAATTACAATAATAATAACAACAACAACAACAATAATAATAAATAAAAGAAAAGATATTCTAAACCTGTGGTGCATTTTATTTTTCACTTCTGTTGTCAAAGGAAGTACCAAACTCTTGATTCCACTCCTCTCCCCTTCACAATTCAATCACTTTGGCATATTCTCATATTTCAATTCGATGTTAACATTTTGATAGTCAAGATGTTTATTTATTGGGGGAAAGTATTTGAGTTCGAGTTGAAAATGATTTTATTCACACATTTAAGATTGAGAAAGTGTAAGAATATAAAATTTGATTAATCCACAAATATGAGTCCTATATTAAAAAAGTGCATTGATTACACACAAAATTGTTTCATTGTTTTAAACCAATCAAAATTTATATTTTTTTTAGAAGCAAAAAAAAGGTAATATATTAAAAGAAAAACATAGTATAAGAACAATAAAAGAAAATAAAATAAAACCTATTACAAACTACAAAAAGCCTCAAAACACAACGGTGGTTTGAGAAGACTACAGATCTACTCGTAGATGTGGTCTAGGCTCCAATCTATGGATGGAAGGCCTACCTCAAGTATAAAATCATACTCTCGCCATCATCGAAGACATCGTCTGCCGTAGCCGCTTCAACTCACCACTATCACGGCTGCACCAAAGGCTGAAGCTCAACCATTGAGGACAAACCAAAAATCTATATAAAAAACGAAGAGAATATCACAAAACTCCTATTCGTACAGATCTACAATTTAGAAGTGTAGATCTACACTCTGTGAAATCACTAAATATGGCATTTAGTGGAGGAATTGTTTGGAATATTATTGCACAAACTAAATGGTTCATCATGGATGAGTGTGAGAACAAACTTTTGAAAATTCGTAAACCATGATTCCAATAAAAATTTCTCTGATCTTTTACCTATTGGCTTTTTAATTCCTGTTTTTACCTATTAACTTTTCATTTTTTTTTTTAATTTTGTAAATAATTAAAAGGTTGAATTTAAACAAACAATAGTCATAATCTTCTCTCTTCCTACCATCTCACTATTAGTTAATTGATTTTTATTTCTTTAAAATTTTGATTTTCCTCTTTTCGATAATTCAATTTTTTGCTTACTTTCAATACAACAAACTTATCAACACATAATTAAAAATAATAATATGATTCGGTTACATATTCCCCATTACTAATCTTCATATTTGACAACATATATGACTAAAATCATCGCGATGAACTGCCACGAAAGAGGCCCTCCATGTAAATTAAGCTCTCTAAATAGATGCGTAAACCGACTTTGTCACACTCCATTTGTGCAAAACATTGCCAACAATATCATAGAACTGGACACCAACTTCGTTTTGAGTAATTTGCAATGTCATAAAGCCTTGTCCATCGTAATAAAACTTCATTTCCTTTGGATTCCACCCTTTAACACTGCCCCTCCATGCCTTTGATCCGCCACCGCTTGTCAGAAACTGAAGTGGACTAGAAAAAATAATAAGAGATAAAAAGAAACAATTTAATTAGTATTTGTTCCATTGAATTAGTAAATTTTTTTGTTTTAGAAAATTTAATTGTATCCCATGATATTGTTTGGTATTAGTAAATCAAATTACCTGTCAGGACTACTGATGTGTTCCAAGCAATGGTCATGCCCATTTATGTAAAGATCAACATTGTTAGCCTGTAAAAAAAAAGAAAAAGACAAAAAGAAATGGCTTAATTAGGTTAGTAAACATTGTAGGTTGGATCAATCATAATTTCTAGCCAGAAAAAATTGAAAATTTTATTGTTTGGTGTATTATAATTTTGGAAAATACTATATAAACGAATTTTTTATCTGATTTTGGAAACAAAAAATATTTAAAATTTGATATAAAAAAAAAAAAAACTCATTTTTCTATTGTGAAAATAATTTTAAAAAATTCAAAAATAATTTATTGTGTTTCACAGAAAGTGGGTTGTTTTATTAATTTTTTCCAAAAACAACTTTTTTAATTTTTAATTTTTTTTTTCTCTTTCAAAAAATTACAACTAGGCAGACGTAGATTTCACTTGTATTTATTAATGTGGATTTCATATCTTTGTATGGGGTGATAAGAAAATCTAATAAAAAAAATCTTTTAATATATATGTTGTATTACTCTTAACTTTTAGCATTTAAACAAAAATGTAATGTAATGTACCTGAAGTATTGGGAGAAGTTTGGCAACAAGCTCAATGGTGTCTCCATGAATTCCAGCACTTCTCATAGTATGGTGCCCAACCACTATTTTCCACGTGGCAATTGATTCCCTTAATGCTGAATCCACATCCTAAAATTCATAATAAAATAAAATAAAATAAAGCTTATTAAAAGTTATTTATCTCAAATTAAACCTTTAGTATATTTTCTACCTAATTTTTGTTAGTTTCTTCCTTTCACAAATGTTTTGCAAATTTAAAGAAAAGAGATCTTGTTTGTTAGGCTAAGAAATTTAATGAGTGAATTTGAACTGCTTGTTTGACACTAACTCAAAAGTAGCTATTTTAACCTTGAAAATGTGAAAAGAAAAAGGAAAATATTTGGGACCCCTTTGGGATGACCCCCTACCCCCAAAGTGTTTCTGGCCCTCCATGTATATGTGGGACCCACTCATGTATATGTGAGATCTACATTATGAGTGATTATTTGTGAGGTCATGTGAGAGTCTTATGAGAGTGGGGGTCTCAATCATTACTAATAGAAAAAGTCTCATATCAGAAACGTTTTGTAACATAATTAGTTTTCTAATTTTTTTTATTGCAAAATTACTATCTTACCCTTCACTATCTTTGAAGAATGAGTGAAATGCTCATTTGATATCCAATAAAATTGGCATCTTACCTTTCATCATCTTTGAGTGTGTGAAAACCCCCAATGCTAGCTTTTTAAACATGCCAAACTATTTAAGGCCTTTTTAACTTCAAAAAAAAAAATTTGTGGTTGAAGGCTGTGCCAAAGGAGGTTTTACCGTCAAGAGATTTGAGAGATAATCCTTCCGGGGAAGCACACCCCGCCAGTCATAAGTATGGTCTTCTTGAAAGTATTTATCTCGGAATGGAGTTGTATCCACGAAGAAAAATTCTACAATTTCTGCTCAACATGAATGAGGAAAAAATAAAATGGCATGGAAAATATACTATATGTCAAATGTAATTAGAGAAATCGCATGCTTATTTTATTTATTTAGTCAGGAATAAAACAAGAGAGTTCAAAATTAATTGGGCCTGAGTTACTTTTTAATTACCTGCATTGATAATAAAAGATCTCATGCAAAGCCATCTGCTATCCCTCTTTGTAAGGACAGGACTCAGTTGTGCCAAAGCATTACCCCTATAGTCATGGTTGCCCAACACTGCAACACAAAACCAAGAGAAAAAAACATATACAATATTAGTTCTTCTACTTGTATGGAAATTAAATATAAAATTGAATACAATCTTCTTGCACATATGTAAGACTCACCAAAATGTAGGACTCACTTCATGTGCAAAAATTTGTTTTATTTTTTGATCAATTTTGTGTTCTAGACTTTTCATACAATATAATGAGGGTTGTTATGTATCATTAGACGAGTTTTACACTAATGCTATGTACACCAATTAATACATTAGTTAGTGTACCAATTGATGATGTAGCGTAATTTAAGAGGTTTTTAGTATTTGTAATTTGTATAATGAGTGGGATCTATAAGAATGTTATAACTAGTATTAGTACACTAGTTAGTATATTAATTGATGCATGTAGCACTACCGTTTTATATTTGGTGTGTTGATTCACATCATAAATGTCATGTATATATTAGGAAATCACAACAATTAATTAGAACTAGTGAGACACGAAAGAATAATAAAGGCTTATTTTGCCAACACTATTAAAAGTCAGCTTTTTTACTTTTTTAAGTCAGTGCTTCTCTACTTTTTTATACGCTTTTTCAAAAAAAGCTAAAAAAATCTAAAAAATTAGCCTTTAATCTATTTTTCAAAATAGGCTAAAATACCCGTACACAAAGAGAATACAAGATTTACTTGATTCACTTCAGGACTAAGGCTATATTGATGGCTATTGTCGTTTTCATTGTGATTAAAAAGTTCACAAGAGATTACTAAGATAGCCGTCTCCTCTCAATTATCAATTTATAGAAATTAGGACAATAAGTCACACGTGCAAAAATATTAAAAATATCCTTACTCTAAATTTGGATATTCAGTGTCCAATACTTACAGTATATATAGGGTCCATTATTTTTAGTTACGGTAGGTCTTACATGTACATAGATGGTCTATTGTATAGATCTATATTTAGAATAAAAAAAAAAATCAATAAAAAAAAACTAATGAAATACATCCGACGATATATATCATCAGGGACGGAATTAAGAGAAGACTATAGGGGGCCATGACCCTCCTGTTTCTGTAAAAAATATAGTTTGTTATAGCATTTTAAAAATATATATAATTTTATACATAAAATGGCCCCCCAGTATAAAAATATATATATATCGTTTTTCTCCTATCTTGAACTCTCTTTATTTTGCACCAAAAAAACTTCATCCTATTAAAAATTGTTTCTATGGTATTTGAATTTTTTTGTGTATATACATTATATTGTACATATATGCGTGCATATGTATATGGTGAAATTTTTTTATTTGTCTTTTAGTCCCTCCGATGATGAAATCCTGATTCCGTCCCTGTATATCATTTTCCTATTAATTTAAGAACAATAATTTTAAAAAAAAAATACAGTAGTTTAATAAATTGAGATTAGAGAAACCCATTTATAATTCTTATTATCCAACACAAAAAATAATATGATACAAATATTTTCAATAATAATAGTATTAGTTTGAAGCTTGAATATCACCTGCGTACCACTGTTTTTGCAAGCTTGGGGCAGTGTAAATATTGGTAAATGACTCATCAAATGCTGCATCATGTACATCTGTCAATCCATCTTCGTAAAAGTTATCACCTGTTGAAATTATAAAATCTGTGTCCAACTTCTCTGCTGTTTTTCCCATCTGCGAAATGTTCATTAAAATATTAGATTTCGATCCAAATAATTTTCCAAAATAATAAAAAAAAATTCTTAATTTGTTGTTGTCAGACAAATTTAATTGGGATCGATCGACTTCGTGGTTTTTTCAATAATGACACCCATAAAAAAAATCAGTGAAATAACCAAGGTATGATTAGAGAATTAGGTTTTTTTGTTAGCACCAAAGGAATTGTTTACCAAAGAAATCCAATAAATAAATGATTTTACATTTCTTAATTGCTCACTTTTATGGTGGAAATGTACAATAATTTTAAGCGTAATGCCCATGCACCTCATTAGAAGATTGGGGACTTAACCCTCCCTATCTTTTGTGTTTTTTCTCTCTAAATTTGTTTCAAAATCTTTCTTATGTGATTTTTTAGTGTAATTATTGCATTTGTTGTATATTTATTTATTAATAGTTTTATTTTTAAATCGATAAAAGAGGGAAATAAAATAAAAACTTAAAATCTTATAAATATAAATAAAAAAATTTGTAAACACACGAATTTTTGTTTATAATTTTTATTTTTTTTTATAAATATAAATAAAAAAATTTGTAAATATAAATTTTATCAAACAGATCCTAATTGTTCCAGAATAATAGATCATATATCCAAATAATATAGATCACACTATTATTCACCCATTAAAAAATTATTCTTCACACAATCTGAATGTGAGAATAAAAGCCTCTAATGAAAAGGTGTGCACATGATGAGCCCCATACATGGGTCACCACAACATGTGCTCAAAGTCCATAATAGCTACAGATACGGACAACATCATTGGTATAAAAAATTCCCAAAAATCACAAATGTGTATTTCCCTTTTTGCCCCTTCAATAAAAGGTAAATCAAGTATTTTGGATATGTTAAAAAGCATGAAGTAGTGTCCCATAATGATCAGTTAAGTGGATATGATGCCCATGTTCCTCGTTTATATGTTCCACAAGTTGCAGAGTCTCCCAATCAACTTTTTCTTTTGGGGTGCTGTTACGGTGTGCAATCCCTTAAGGATGTAAGTAGAAGGTGTAAACATAAAACAGGACAGTAAACAAAAAGGCGTAAGTATAAGGTGTAAGTTGCACACTTAAGAAAAGTCCTTTCTTTTGATGGTAAGGATATGATTAATGAAGAATAATTCTTTCTATTTTTACCTGTTGTCATCGGACAACATAAAAGTTACTGATTCTAAAAAATTAGTCCAAAAAATCACCAGAAGTGGCTGACGATGGACGGTGACGGTGGTATGGATAAATAAATAGACAAATAAGTAATATGTAAAGAGATAAGTGAAATTTATGAAAATGTTTTCAATACTGATTTAAGAAATGTAATTATTTATAACATTGTTTTAAAAATAAAATACACTCATAATAAAAATAAATAAATAAATTCATGACTCGAATCATAATTTGTGTTTGTAGAATTGTCTATTTTCATCTCACCAAATAAACAAATAATCTTAGGAATCTAAAAATAAAAAAATCAACGTAATGTTTTACATATGTTTTGACGTGTTTGGCATTTCACCCAAATAAACTACATGATTTTAAATGAGTCATCTTAGCGCTAAGGCATTATCTAAATGAGGCATCTTAGCACTAAGGCATCTACCTAAATGAGGCATCTTAGCGATAAGGCATTTACTTTTTAAAGTTCCACAAGAATTCCGTGATTTTTTTTTGTTTTTTTGTCCTTTTCAATTCATGGAATTAAATAATTTTGGCAGAACCGAAGGGCTTAATTTTAAAATATATATTTTGTTATAACATCTGTAATCTTTGGATTATGACTTAATATTGTAATATTAATTATGACTTATTATAATTATTATTTTGATTATAATAAAAAATATATTTAGTTATGCCTAAAATAATATTTAATTATGATTTATTGTGTTTCTTTAGTTAGGACTCAAAAATAAATTTGTTATGACATCGTAACTTCCATATGGTATTTTGGAGTGTGCATTGTAAAATGATCTTATAATATATAATGCTTCAATTAACAGATTATTATCAGTTAAAAGTTAATAATTATAAGCAAAAGTAAAACACACTCACCACCTACCTTCTCGATAATCAATTTTTTAAAGTTATTTTTGTTTCATAAATTATAAGAAATTACATCAAACAATCTGAAACAAACTCCCACAATAAAAAGATGATACAAATAGCTGCCACAAACAACCCGATGACATGCGCCCAAGTCCATATTGGACAGAGATGTGGACAAACATCATTAACAACCTAACAATTCAATTACAACAGGCCAACATATATATATATATATATATAGTATGTTATGATACACCCCTCTTAAAAGGTTATACATTTTTATTATGTATTTTTTTGATAAAATTACAATAATTTATAATTTAAAAATAAAATTAAACATTTTTTTTTAGTAATGTTACACAATTTTGTAGTAATGTTATACATTTTTTGATTAGAAAATATTTAGATAAAAAAAATATATACCATTATACAAAAATATGTAACATTATCACAAAATACGTAAGAATCACAAATTATCATAATTGTAAAAAAAAAATTACATAATCTATCACAAAAATACATAACATATACCACAAAAAAGTATTTAACCGATGCATATGTACACATTGTGTTTGGTTGGAGGATTTGGGAAGGAATTTGGAAAGCAAAAGAAAAAAAGTATATGAAATTATGTGAAATTTAAGCATATTTTATTCACATTTTACATACCTTTTCTATTTTTTTTCTAAAACCTTTCTCAAATCCCCGACCAAACACACAATTAGAGTTTCTCATATATATATATATAGTATACGTAGTTATAATAATGTATAAAATAAAAAAAAAATCAGTCAAAGAGATTTTCATTGATAATTGTTATATATAACTAATACATATAATAACAACCATCAAAGACAAAAAGCAGAATGCAACATCAAATCTTTTCTATATATATATATATATGATCATCAAAAAGTGTTTAGATACTTTACTTTGAAGATGATAATATAAAAAAAATAAAGAAAGTATGAAAAAGAAAGAGAACCTGAAGGGCAATTTCAGATTGGTTGTGAGTTCCTCTTCTTCCCCAGTCTCCTATCACCATAACACTCAGCGATCCATCGGCTTTCGTGGGGTGTTCGAACCTCTGAAGATCGGCTATGGCAACACTTGCCAAACACAGCCCAAAAAGAGTAACTGTGAGTTTCAGATGATGAGAGAGAGACATGTTTTTGTTGCTAATCAACAACAGAGCAACTATGACTTTTTGAACAAAAACTAAGAGGTGGGTGGGTGTGAGAATGTATAGGGGTAGCAAAGCTACATAAAGGAAGCCTTGTTTGTACATATAAATTAAAGGGTGGTGCACATTACAACATATTTGATTAAAAAACAAACATTTTCAATTAAAAAGACTCGTATTGAATGATGTAATAATGATATTTTTTAAATTATACATTAAAATAATAAATGTTTTTAAAATAAAATGATTATAAGAAATTTTACGATTTTATATAAAAATTATATATAATTTTTTATATTGATTTTTAAAAGATAATAATATAATGTTCTATGATTAGTGAAAGATATTACATTACTTGTCATGGTTAGGGGTATGCGCGGTGCGAGTCCGTGCGTTTTGAGAGAAAAATAGAAACCGTATGGGTATGGCAGGGGGGGGAAAAGTGTCACTAGAATTTGCCATGTTCTTTATCAAAAACCGGCGGTTTGGTTGGCAAATAATGGCAGATTTGCCTTGACGGTTCGGGCGGATTGGCGGTTTATAAAAAATGTAATTCAAATTACAAAACTTAAATCAAAGAGTAAAAAAAAGACAAGAGATACCGTGATGTTAAGTATCTTGCGAAACTTTCTTCTGATGTAGCAAGTGTAGCAACAACATGATAATATCAACGACTATGCCATCAGTTCATTATAAGCATCTGTGGAAGCTACAATGATCAAATACAATACATAAAATTAATATCATTCAGGGTTTACAATATATTGAAAATGTTTACTGTTGAAAAGTATTTAGATTAAAAAGTGAGTTGATGCAAGTTTGCAACATGGCCAGAAAAAAAAAAGATTGAAAAGTGAATTGGAATCCAACTTTATTTTGGATTACTGACATCTTGAATTCCCCTCGAGCAGTAATGTAATACTATATTCTAAGGTATAGAACAACAAGCAAACTTAAGTAAATTATAATTTTTAGAATCTTATAAGACATGATTTAATAGCGGTGCGGGTCGGTGTGGTTTGGAAGAAAAATAGAAACCGGCGGATTGATAAAAGTGTCACTAGAATTTGCCATTTTTCTTACCAAAAATCGGCGGTTCGATTGGCAAATAATAACGAATTTGCCTTGGCGGTGCGGTTCGGTGCGGTTTTGGCGATTTCGGCGGTTTCGACAGTATTATACACACCCCTAGTCATGGCAGCCATCTGCACTTAATAATTTCTCATTATAGAAAATTTGAGTCACAAGTCCGATTTCAAAAAATTTTGGACAACAACCCCAATGCCTATTTTTTTTTTTTTGAAGTTAAAAGGACAAAACAATTTGAAAGATCATATTAACTCTATTTATCTATTTATGTTACTTGTTTATTCACGTGTCAACTATCTATTTACATAATTTACCTATTTATTTATACGGCCACCACAATCACTAGTAGTCGCCACTGGCCACCTTCGGTGACTTTTCTGGTGTTGGTGGTTGGCCGACGACAATGGCATCAAAATAATTTTAAAAAATATCTTTCAAGACAATAATTTGTTCTTCTCCTCCAAATAATTTCATAAATTATGTTTATAGGGGGTTCGAGGTTAGAAAGGTGATTAGAGAGGCAAAACTATGCTAATGGTTCAATAATGGTGGAAATGGCTGGAGAATGAGTAGCAGCAACTGTCTGGGAGTTGGAGAGTGTGTAGCTGGATAAGGGTGAAGCAGGTAGCTCAAGAAGAAGTGTATGGTAGTACCAAAATGGGCAGCGTCCCCCCAAAATCTCCAAAATTCTTCTTTTGGCCCTTGGGAAATGGGTCTTATTTATAGGCTTTTTCTTGGTGCCAAGAGAACACTAAGTGGTCAAATAGAGAGAAGACATGTGTCCCAGAGGATCACATGGAATATTCTGCCTCGAGCCACCAGGCTGAAAGTGCCACGTGTCCCTTTGCATGTACTGTGTATTATCTGTTTGTCTTCGCAACTACCTTTTGATCTTCAACAAGCATAGTTACGATGGGAGTGTTTAGCGCTGCAACTCCCTTTTGAGCCTCAGCAAGTGCAGTTGCGGCAGGAGTGTTTGCCTCTACACTTACCTTCTCAGCCTGAACCTCCGCAAGTGCACTTGCAGCAGTGAACATTGCCGCTGCACTTGCCTTCTCAGTTCTATTTAGCCAGTACATACATTCTCAGGACTCTGTTAGCCTGCTATTGACTACGTTTGTGTTCACTTTAGCGAAGCCTCCACCCTTGGTCACCTAACCACAAACTTCCCAACTTCCTAAGGTGAAGGCCACAGCCAAGCCTGCTATCAGCCATGCTGTGTCTTAGTACCAAGCCTAAGAGGGCTTTCTAAGTCCTGCCTGTGCGACTAAGGCAGGTCCATGATGTGGGTAATGGAAAGGGAGTCCCCTATGTTCGAGCTACCCTACTTCCATCTTCGCGGGATTGCCGTGGTACACTGGTATCTCTGGGCCTGCTATCAGCTCTAACCAATAAGTCATGGGGCCTGCTATCGGCGCCGAGTTATATGAACTTTGGGGTCTGCTATCAGCCCTAGGCTAGTAATGCCTTGAGGCCTGCTGTCAACACCAAGCATTAGCCTCTACTTATAGAGGGAGGCCTCTCTCAAAGGCTGCTATCACCTTAGTAGGATATTCCCTCTGTAACTTAGTTGCTGCGGTCGTAATTGCTGCGGTAGTCATTTCTCGCAGCAAGTTTAGACGGCAGGACCAAAGATATTAGAGATGGCGGCGCCAGCAAAATGCCTCCACAACTTGGGTGCTGCAAGTACTGCCTTTGCAACTTAGTTGTTTCAATTTTCTCCTTTCCTCAGCAACTCCAGATAGTTGTGGTACCAACATTAATTGGAATGACGGTGGCACTGAAGATACTTGGAATGGCGGCGCTGAGACAAAGTGCTTCCACAGCTTGACCTCCCGTAACTTGGCCGTCGCCAGTGTTGCCTCTGCAACTTAGTTGCGTTGGCTTTCTCTTTCCTTCAGTAACTTCAGATGGCGGTAGAACCGAAGATATTAGGAATGGCGACGCTAAAGCAAAGTGTCACGACCCAAACCCGGCCCTATGGGTTTAGCACCGTAACCGGCCAGTAATCCGAGATTACCGAAGGCCTACAGAACAGTAGTACAGTAAAACAGAGTACAGGGCCTGGCGGAAGCCAATACAGTAAATAAATAA